TCGACTTGTCCGGCAACAAGATACCTGCTCTGAAAGAGGAGATATTCAAACTGGCCGGCCTGGTGAATCTGCAACGGGTCTTCCTGCGTAATGCCGGTATCTACAGTATCCATGCGGATTCTTTCAAAGATATGAGGATACTCATCGAGATCGATCTGTCGGACAATCACGTAACGGCCTTGGAGCCGGATACATTTCTCGGAAACGAGCGTCTGCGCATTTTAATACTTAGCGGAAATCCGCTCGGTACTTTGCGTAATCTACAGTTTCCTGCACTGCAGCATCTGCGAAATTTAGAGCTACAACGATGCTCCTTGACTGAAGTACACGGGCAAGCCTTTGCCCGGCTAACCGGCTTAGAATTCTTGAAGTTGGATACTAACCAACTAGAATATTTGGAGTCCTCGGTGATATCCGGATTATCTCGCTTGAAAACCTTAACGCTAGATGGCAATCGATGGAGATGCGACTGCAGACTACGAGATTTCCGCACCTGGCTTATCCCCGACGTACCCAGCAAGTTGTACTCCGTGCCACAAATCTGTTCAGGTCCACCGAGATTGGAGGGCCGCAGATGGGAGGATGTAAAACCTACGGAATTTGCTTGTGAACCAAAAGTATTCGTCCTAGCGAGCAGCATACAAGAGGAGACCAACGGTAACCTCAGCTTGGCGTGTCGAACGAGCGGCGATCCCGAGCCGGAAGTTTGGTGGCAATTAAACGGTGGACCAGTTAATGCTACCAAATCGACTGATCAACCCTACATGGGGACTCTCGTCATTTACGCAACGTCCGAGGCTGGCATATCATCTAACGACAAATCTGCGTCGAGAACCGTTGGAGACCGATGGAGCAACCTGACCGTTTACAACGCCAGTGACAGCGACGCCGGCGAGTATGCCTGTTTTGCGAAGAATATCGCTGGTCTCGCACGAGACACAGTCAGCGTGGCAATACCTCGTGTTTATACGGCCCCGACTCTCTCCCAGAGTGACAACTGGCTGCTCTGGGTGAGTTTGGCTGGAGGCGGCGCGGCTGCCGCGTGTGCTTCCATCTCGGCCGTGTTGCTGGTTCTTTGTTTGTTCGGTGGAAATCGACGACACAGTAAACGGGAGAAGGTGAAGCTGCAAAGCAGCAGCAGTTTCGGCGACCAGGAGAAGAAGCTGCTAGACCTGTCCGTGACCACCACCACGACGCCCGGGAATAGTAACGACCGCGGCAGCGGTCACAGCAGCATCGGTGATGCGTGTAGCACCGGTGACCTCGAGTTGGCGGAGCGTAGCTCTATTTGCGATCCTATGGCCGCGGCCGCGGTCACCGTCGAGCGGCTGCGACCCGCGGACAACTCGGTGAACACGATTCGCGCGGTTCCATGCGCTGCCACGGCTACCGCCGGTGTATTTCCGCCCCCGCCGCCGGAATTTACCACCGGCGTGCTGCCGGCTGGGATCTTCGGCAATATCTTCATCTCCGTGTCATTGCCGCAGGACGCGTCGTCGGAGCGCTGCTATCCGGATCTCCTCGACATCCCCGTCCACGCGGTTAGCGGCGCTACGACCGCCGTTTCGACCAGCGGCAAGACCGCGGCTCTGCCGTCTGCAGCGGCGATCAGCGTATCTAGCTTCGCCACGCTGCCACGTCGGGCCTTGCGCTCCACCGAGGTCGCCGCCGGCTCGCCTTACGACAATATGGGGCCGCGCATTACGGCAAACGGCAGTTCCGCGTTCTCGTTAACGGACATAACGGATATGGACCTGCGGCTATCGCCGCCACCACCTCCGCGGATCATTCAACCGCCGCACGAGTTCGTTTCCCTCTAAAACACTGGATTCTTTTCCACACCGATTCGTATTGTCGCGCAATACTGATTTCATAATCGATAATATTCCGCTAATAGTGTTATCCTAATATATTGTGGAACATCCATTAGCGGCCGGGTATTATTGGATAACATCAATTAGCGTGCGGTAATACTAACCGTGTCAGGAATGGCTCACAAATCGACTCTTTGAGAACGCACGCGCTCGCTTCGAACGAGTGATCCGTATACGCTTCCTCGGTGGAGTTTTAAAGACGTGTCGAATCATCCTATCACGTATCGGTGTCGCAAATTTGATAGTGACGTCATATTGATTGTACTGAAGAATTTTTATCTCAATATTACGCGTTCGTTAGGTCATCGTGGACATTACAAATTTTGCAGCCTTAAAATATTAATCGCAATTCTGGACTGCCATTTATAAAATCAAAATTTCTAAATATCATTTATTTATGAAGATAAGTTACATAATACAAGTTAATAAGTGAATCTTTTAGCAATATATTAAAAGATTTTATCATTAAATATCGAATATTGTGTCGCTTTTTGTGCACCTAATCTCTATTTGTTATATACAAAATTATATAAAACTCAATCAATGATCAATAATCAAATGCAGATAACTCAAATATTTAAAGACATACAAAGTGTCTTTAATATTTTTTCATCATCTTCTGGACTTCCGCATTGCATTTAGAAAAATGTAATGAGTAGAGCATATCTCTAAGTGACTCTCGAGTATTTCATTATACATTGACAAGGAACATGTAAGCAACTACATAATTCTAGGAAATGGTCTCAACACATGTCGATGTACAATGTACAATGGGTGTTTTTTATTCATATAATTTATAGAGACACTTAATTATTATAAATATAAATGGAAAGAATTATTATGCGTGAAACTTAATAATATGTAATTTTCATAATAACAATATGATTTAATAATATAAACATAAAATTTAATAATATGAAAAGTAAGGTGGTTTATAATTTCAATTACATTTTAAATTTCATATTTATATCTACATTCGATAGATATATAATATTATTTTATAATTTAACAAGTTTTAAGATTTTTTTTTAACAAATAAATCAAGATTATTTGCTTTTTATAAATGTGATTATTGAGAAATTGATGGCAATATATCCTTGTGGAAAAATACTATCAGATTAATAAGAAAATCATTGAAATGAATAGTGTACAATTTTCGATTCGAGTGATTTTGCAATTATTTTCCATCATTTTTTCGCGAGTTCAATAGTACTTTTCTATAAGAGCACTCTTCCATAATCGTGATAACGATAGCGATGACAATAGATCTGTTTTTTATTGTTGTATGATCTGCACTAAAATTTTCACCAAACTTCAAACATATCTACTTCTATCTATTTCATTTTATAAGTACACTAATTTAGCTATAAACAATAGACTTATATTATCATTTTCAGATTTTTTCCTTGTTTCATAATCATTTACAATTGTTTATATCGCAACGGATAGAAAGATTTTTTATTTTTATAATTTAAATCTCTTTCCCGTCCCTTCATCTTCGCTACTAACATAATTAATTAATCTCGATTTGTGTTATCAATTTGAATTATAAATGGAAAGCAAAAATAATTAAAAGTTTATTAAAAGTTAACTTTTATCGCTGAATGAAAAACACCCATTTTTGGTGGGCACTTCGCAAATCGCATGAGTAAGTAGTTATCGGCGAGTAGCCGGAACCTCTTGGGAAACAACGAGAATGTAGTCGTGATTAGACATCTCCCGCGGGTGCAGTTTAAGTCGACGTGGTTCTTCCCTTCGGCATGCAGCGCGTTCGACGAATGCGGAGAAAGCGCCAAGAGAGAAAATCGATATCTCACTGTGTCGCGGCCGGCGTGTCACCGAGATTATAGTATACGGAGCATTCGATCGAAAGACTGATATCGGCCACAATTGTCCGACCTATCGAATATCTGTCTGTCTATGCTTGTCTGCCTTGCCCACTTGTCTGGCCAGCTGCCCGCGGCCGTTTGCGCCCATAATGAGTGTGTACGAATGATGGATGGATGCGTGAAGAACCTCTTAGACCTAAGTCTCTTCTAGTCTGCTAACAAATAATCCGAAATGAGGTGACTGTTTGTATATACACTTCACGACTACTTCTTCAAGACGAATGGACCTTCAATTAATTAGCGCGAGCGAACCGGTCGCGTCTCATTATCTTCCCTTCCATTCATTCTCCAAAGTGTATCACTAGTTTGTTACATATTCTCTACGTGTGTACATATTTGTTATTATATCACACATTCGTGTAAACGTGCGACTTGGACGTTACGAGCGTCGCACGCGCACGCCGGTGCGTTATACACGCGCGCGGAGATATTCATTATGAACACTTTGTCAATTAATAAAATCATTGAATTTTACATACATCGAGTCAATGATTTGTATTGTCTTGTTACGTTCGTTGTAAGAAAATAATGTACCGCGTATCGTATTATCTTCAATTGAATTCAATTATAACATTTATAACATTCATCGGCATGTAAATCACATTTTTTCGGATGAAAAATCAACGGAAGCATTGAAAATTGAAACAATATGGCATTGTTTTTCTGTACCCAATTTATACACTAACAATAAAACGAAACTATGAGGATTGTTCTTTTCCTATAAGATTTTACCTGTAATATAATTGGCTATGGCTTTCTATATTATGTACTAAAAGTGTTGTATCAAATTCCAAATGTTATTAGTAATAGAATCTATTTGTAAATTGTTATATGTAATCAAATAATTATGAGGAACACACTATTTTTAATTGAATTTTTGAAAATATGTACAGTCATCAAAAACAGATCACCAATTAGCTGAGCGTGTAAATCAAACTTTTATTTCTATTCTCCATTATTTGTATATAAAAATAAACATTGAATTGGATCGAGTATTTCGGAATAAAAATCTGCTTAAAATAGCATACCAAGTTACATCAAGATCGGTTGCTTCACCAGAGAATTGCTATTTCGTGACGATACTAGGCGACAGGATTGCATGTAAGATTATAAAGTACAGTATTTAAGTACAGATTATGTATTGTTGCATAATTTGCGTACAAAGTGCAAGGGTAAGATGGATCGCCTATGCAAGTAGGGAAAACGATCAAAAGCACCGCACGTTACATTTCTGACGTTTTTGACAGTAAGTTCCTTCTTTGTCTCAAGTCAACATCCGTCAAATCCGCGAGGCGCGAATCGTGATCAAAGATGGCAAGTTACAGGAAACTCGTTGCGTCGTGTTCATTCTCGCGACCTAGTCTCGGAGTGTATCCTCCTTGACCTTGACTATTTCGAGAACCTGAAAAGAGATCAATCACATTGCAGAGCGCGAAAAATCACACGTGGACTGTCTTAAATTGCTCGCATTTAAGGATTAATGAAGCAGTGACGCTCTTTTCTTCATACGACGATATTCTTTATGGAAAAGCGATTCGCGTAATGTCAAAGAATGAATGACGTCGTGTATAATAGTCGATATCTGTTCAACATACGCGACGTGCTCCAAGTATTCCGAGAGAATATTTAATTTAGCGAAAATAATGGGATCAATACCTTTTGTAACATTTAAAGATGTTGGCGTTTATTATTACAAACGTACTGTTAGTGCTCTTTTTTGAACAATGCATCCTTGGCTCATATAGATTTTGAGATAAAATTGAAAGATTTTCAATATTTCTTTTTTAATGAGATCAATTTAAGAAAAAATTGATTACTTTCATAAATCTTAAATCGCAAAACATGCGAATAAATCAACGGATTAATACTAGAAGTATCGAGCAGTTATTAATGACCGTGTCTATTTTTTAGATGAATATATTTCTTGTAAAAAATAGGATTATGAAAATTTTTTATTTTTCAATGATTATGTTCTTTATACTGATAAAATATTTTTCATCATTTTCTCTATTTCCATAATAATTTACTCTTGATCCTTTTAGTGAGTAAGAAACCTTGGTACTTCTAGTGTTAATTAATATCATCGTAATAAAAGGTAAAATTAAGATCCTTTTATTCATACCTCGTAAAATAGAATAATACGATCGAGGATTGTCGATTTTTTGTGCGAAACGAAGATCCTTGTATCCATGTACATGATCGGGCATTAACCAGGCATCATCTTTCTGAATTTTGTCAGCATGTTTAAATGCTATCGGTCTATCTGCGTAATCTACACAAAAAGTACAGTTAACAATTGATTTCCTGTAGATGACAAAAATGTATAATGTCTAAATACGTTTCATTGTATGCATTTTGTTTAAAAGCGATAAACGAATCCTGAGGCGGATCGTCCGACGTCGCTCAAATCAATTCATTAAAAACTGCAAGCGCATACCACATAATGCAGTATTGTTTCGCATAAATGCAGATATTCGCGCTTATATTTTTTCATAAAATTTATTCAATCCGATAAAAGCTGCTTTAATTAATAACGGCATCGCGGATATTGATCTGACGTGAAATGCGTTAAACGTTTATTGCAAGGTAACATCCGTATAACCAACGTTTACATAAATATTACTAAAATATTTTGCAGTAATTGCCTCATTAAACTTCTAATTTACTTCAAAAAGTTGGCTGTCAATAATGTTATTAAAAATATTCTAATAAGTCATAATAATTTCTTATTTATAAGAATTATTTCTTTCCGATAATCTTCATATGAAATTATTCTTAAAGGTTTAATGCATTCTTTGACATTCCGACATTATTTTTCTAAATTTTCCACACCTTCGTAATCAAGATTTAAAAGAACTTCAGATTCCACGTCGCGTGGAATGTAGAACTCCATATCGGCGTCAGCTGGTAAATCCTGAAATCGATTCAAATTGCTCGATTCATCGGATCGTCCGATTCGGGGCTTATGTATTATTCCAAAAGCACGCTCCATTCTAGGAAAACTCGCTATTTCCGAATTTCGGCCGATTCTTGGATACGCCACCAATCCAGCGGAACGTCTATCGTTGATTTTCAATTTTTGACCCTCTAGAACGTGAACAATACGAAATAATTAGAATATCAAATGCTCAAAATTATTTTGTTGTGTGTTCTTTTTGGAACAATATCTTCTGCTTTCTTCTAACAATTAGTTATCCGAGACTAAAAAATGCATCTAATAATTTTCCAATTACACAAATAATACAATAACATGAATAAAAAAAAATACTAGAAATAAGACATTGCAAATTATTTCAAATAAAGTCTTTTCATAATCAATATGTGTATACTAAAGCGAATTACTTTGTGCATGTACTATTATATACATACGTGCTTTGTAAACATAAAAAAAAACTTATATAAAAATACTATAAATATACAATATGTATATTCAAAATCTAAAAATTATTTGAAGTTGCAGGACAATATTAAGAAAAAGAAAAATCTATATTCTTTACTAAAATTTAAAATTTGTATAAATTTTTTTCAATTAAGATATAAAGTTAAGCATCGTAATTTTAAAGAAACTAAGAAGCTACAATCAGTAATACGCTCAAGCGTCACAAGTATTTAAAAAACGTCCAAAATTTGAAATACGTTTAAAAAATATATAAATGAATAGAGCATAGCGTTTTGATTGATGATAGTTGTAATTGATGATAGTTTGTGTGCATATGTTTGATATTTATGTATGAAACAATAAAAAATTAGTCACAAAAAGTTATAATATGAAAAATGCCACACAAAAGTTATGAAAGTATGCGACACTCATGCGAGTTTCTTGCCTCTGGTGGATTCGAAGTGCTGGCCGACTGAGCATCTAGCAACTGCAAAATAAATAAAACATCGTCGACGTTTTTCCATCAAAAGTCGGACATCATAATCCCTAACAATTTAATCTACACTCGCACTCGTGGCGCTCAACGATTTCCTGTGAGAATTTAGTATGATACTTTTTTTTTATCCGCGCTATGACTGTTTTGCACTTTAATTCCCCGTCCTACTTCATTTTTACTTCGCTTTGTTGGGAACTGCTGGCATTCGAGTTGTTGTTTGTCTCAATGAGAATAAATTATTTAACACATTATTCACGAGAGAATAAAAATTGCGACTTTTAATATTAGATTAGAAGCTCCCTGCGTTTAGTCATTTTTTTCATTTATAATTTCTATGATGTCGACCTCTTTAATAACAATTGGATAACATGTACCAACTATTTTTACTTCTATATAGTATATGTATTTTTACTTCTATATTATTTTAATTCTATGTGTGTGAATATGTTTTAGATTAAGATTTAAATTAACATCCGAATTTAATATCTAGACCAGGTGAATCGATTTTGCGGTTAATTTAAGCCGATCTTAATTTATCAAGACGCTTTAACTTTTAATATAATTTACGAAAATAATTAGCTAATGTTTAAAATGATATATTATAAAAATGTCTTAGGGTACGTTCCGAGTTACACATAAAGCGCATAATGCATCATTTGTCTTGTTGTTCAGCAAATAATAAAGAAAAATAAAATGATACATCATGCGAAACGCGCACCCTTAATATATTTGATAATTGACAAATTAAGTATAAAAATTTTAAATATAAGAAATACAATATACTGTAAATTTTTTAATAAAAATTTTCGAATTAATGGAGTCAGACGTTAATAATTAAAAAACGGTAGAGGAAGTGTATATTTTGAAGTTAATCGTGAAATTCGCAATGTTGACTTACGATTAAGAGACGTAGAAAATGCCAAAAGGATCACGAAGATAAAAAACCTGTTGTCCTGCATTTCTGTGACTCCCGATGATCGAAATTCTAAGTAGACGATGTGAAGCTTAGAGTTGCACTGAATGTCTCCTGTTACTCGACGTCCGATTTTATACCTTGCGCCCTCCACCGCCACTCTGCTCGATTATGAACCTGCCACCCCACAGTTCAAACCCCTTGTCGTAGAGCATCCTCGTGTCTCGCCCCTACTCCTTGCGAAATCGATGCATTTTTCGCGAAATCGGCCCATTAGCACACATTCAGACACATACACACACACATACATACACACACGCGCGTACACACGCACGCACGCACACACTCACGCACACGCACGTACATATACACACAAATAATTACGTGAGTGTGTGCGTGTGCGTATGTGCACGTGCATATATTAGGTCCTGCGCACAATGAAAGAAATATTCACGCAAAAGAATATTTTGCTGCTCCAGTTAAAATTATAGCTGTCTTTTTGTATCTGATAGAAAATTATGTATATCATACACATAAAATTTATAGCACAAATCTAAATTCTATCTCTGTCATCTATATGATGCAATACATATACAATATCGCAATACTTACTAGAAATTTGTCTATTTTAGCTATTTTTCGTACTTAGATAATTTTCGCTATAAGTGCAAGATCACTTTTTTGAATGATTAGGAATAAAAATAAATATTAAATAGTAAAGAAAAGAAAAAAATACAGGAATAGAGATTGATGTGAATGTAATGGATAGTATGAATTCATATAGATAACAGATATATAATAAATCTTATCTCTCTCTCTCTCTCTCTCTCTCTCATTCTTTTATCGATTTATATCCATTGTGCATTACGTTTAATTTCATTGTTTAACTGTTTAATTTATACTTCTAATTTTTTTATCCTCTAATATTTAATATTTATTCCTGTTGTGTAATATCTATTAATATCCATTGTGCATTACGTTTAAACTTTATTTCTAATTTTTTAGTTTTCTAATATTTAATATTTATTCCCGTTCTTAATATTTCTTCCATTGTACGCAGAGCTATATGTATGATGTATTCTATCTCTTTTTTTTTGCGATCTTAAAACACCATTAGACTTTTTCCAAAGACAAAGTCATTATCTCAATCTCAATTATAATTTAGAAATGTAAGAGTAATCAGAATTTTTAATTTATTTAAGGATGTTTTTATATATATTTTCAAAATAATAACAAAATTATGAAAAAATTACAGATTATTCTACATTTAAAAACAATATGACAAATTTGGCGACGGTTTACTATTTGAATTATAAGTTATTTTAGTAAATGGTAGTATTTTTTTAATCTGTGCTCTAATAAAAATGTACAAAAATGTATTATAAAATAAATGACAAAAATCTTAATTTTTAAATATAAACTTTTTAATATAAACAAAATGCATTCAAGATTATTTATGTATAGAGTTAACATTGCGATACATGAACTAGTTGCCCAGTAATATTTTACATAAACAAAATATTTATTTATTCTATAATTTTGTAACTAATCAGTGAATCACAATGAAACTTTGCATAAGTTACTTTGAATATTTAAAGAACTAATAAAAAATGATATTTTTATTATCATTTAAAACATTTTAATTTTTAACAATAAAAATAACAAATAGAATAAATAAACAACAAAAATGTGTCATTAAATAAAAATGTAATCTTATTCACACAACTTTCATATGTATATGGTTTGTTTGAAGTTGTAAGTATTAAACACATTTCCAAATTTAATTTTCTTTGCAGGGTACGTGTGATACATCCTTAATAGTAAAATTTCTACAGAACGTGTGAAATTATTTCCTTACAAAGACAATGAGCCAATTTGCTTGATCAAATATGCAATAAAGATGTGATCTGTATTATGAATTTTTTACAACATACGTGGGACGCGCAGAAACATCATTTTATTAATGTAGTATAATATTTGCAACTTCCAATAATTTTCAAAAATTTTCCATATACAACGTGTATATACATATATTATATCCGCTACTTTATGCATAATAATGTTATAATACTTTATGCATAATAATACTTTATGCATAATAATGAAAACATATATTATTAATTTTTATGACACGATCGATATTCATACACCACATCCTTAAAGGGTCGGCAAGACCGAAAAAAAAGTATTCTCAAACGTACTTTGAAATATACCAGCAAGAACACCGCGTGCGACAATTATCGGGTATTATATCGGGTATAATAATTCGGTCGACGTAGGTGTAAAAGGAGGCCGGCATTACGATGATGCAGGATAATATATAGATTTATGTACACGTGATGAGATTATCACGCAACAGATTATAACGCATTATTTGTGCGTGACATTTTCTCGACACGTTTTCTCGTGCGATCTTCCACTGAGAGTAATCTCCCTAACGCGTGTGAACGTTCTCGCGATGCTTTTTCACGCTATTTCCGGTTACAACTGGATACTTCCAATTTGATAGAGGCAGAATATGTTCTTCAAAAATGTATAAGAAAAAAATGTCAATACCGGCAAAGTCAATTTACATTTTCGAAAAAAAAGATCAGGTATTTATAACTTTAGATAAAACATAAATAATTCGTAGGTATATTACCCTCTCAGAACTAAAATACGATATTTATATACATAATATATTAAATTATTACAAACGATAATATATTAGTATTTATTATATATCGTTTATATAGTAATTTAATATAAATATATTATTAATGTACTTGCATATGTCAATTCTGGGGGGAAAAAATTTATACGGAATAATCTTTCCACACACCCCGAGAGAAATATCTTTTAAAATTTATTCTCAAAATATAATAGTTGTGGTACAATACAATATTTTAAAGATTTTTATCATGCACTTCAGTAAAATCTTAACCAAATTTATGCTTTATTGTAATTTTATTAATAAATAAGAGAGAGATTTACATTAAAATTCCTCGAAATACAATGTTGTCCCACGACTATCATATTTTTAAGGTAAACTCTAAGAAAAAATTCTCTTGGTGCATAAAGAATTTTTAAAGTAAAACGAGAAGTTAATTTAATTGCAGAATAAAAAATAAAAAAATTGAAAGTATGGGCGGAATAAAGGTCTAACTACAAAATCTTGATTATAATAAAAAATAAAATAACTTGCTACTTTTTAATTATACACAAATTGATACAGTATCAAATGAATATCTTTAAGGAATTAAATGTTACAATATTTGTCTATTACGATCAATATTACATAAAAAAGCTAATCTCTGGTCTAAAAGGGTCTAACAAGAATTGTGCCTTTATTTCGCTTTCAATTAATAAGCGATTCTACAATTAACCGTACAAAATTATAAACTATTAAACAAAAATAAAGGGCTCTAAATAATAACAATTATAATGAAATAAGTCTTCGATTTTAAGAAAATAGATTTGAATATCCAATTCATGTAATTTCTTTAGGATATATAAAATAAATTATAAATAATGTTATGTACCAAGTACTGCGGTTGGTTTAATATCCTGTAAATTTATTTCATTATAATTAAAAGCGTCATTCATCAATTTTATTGTCTAATAAGTTATCTTGCGAAGAAATAAAACTAGTGCGATTGATACGTTTGAAATTTGACTTGCAAAAGTCACAATGTATATACTGAAAATTAGATAAACCGGTGACTTATATTGTTTCATGTATAAAGTAAGGCTTCTATTTATTTTCGCAGTTTAATTTATTTTCGACGAACACGACATACTGCTAGTGAACGTTTCATTTGTATGCGCATAACGGCTCACTTAAATATAAAGGAGCGTCAATGAGGATCGTATCTAACGTTTAGCGCCGGTTTACCATTTAATTAATTGTACACGTGTATCCTGTATACGGATATGAATAGGGACACAGATATGGAGACATGCGACATGTATTTAGTAAATTTATTTTAAACGAAAAGAGTCATATAGATTGAGTTTCTCGAAGACTTTGATTAATGCATGATGAGATTGCGCTTTTCACCTGTCGATAATTTTTTACATCGCTACAAGGAAAAGTAGTTTAATGCCGAAAAAATGACGAGAAACAAGATTATTCTACCATGTCGCGATGGTCCCTTCATTCAATATTACGTAAAACAAGTATCTATTTGGACTTGGCAATAAAATGTTATTTTTGTCTATACGTTATTTTATGGCGCCTGAAAAGAGTATAATTATAATATCCTATTTTATATATAGAGTAATTTGATGACAATAGCATGCTTCATCAAAGATATTAATCTCCGATCTAACACTTTAATTACTAAAGATAATTAGCAACATTTTTTATAGATAATAATAGACAAACGTAAATATCTCACAAAATTAACTAATCTAAAATAGACTTTCCTAGATTTCTTGCTTTATAAATCTGTGAATATTGCAATAGTTTGAAAAATATGTAAAAAAAATATGGTACAGATAAAATAGAAAATTACACCCATCCATTTCTTATATTTATTGGAAACATAAAACAATTTATATGGATAAAGAATATTTTCAGGTAGAGAAATCGAATAAAGAAACACTATTTCAATTTTTCTTTTTATATGACTGTATTTTTACAATGTAAAATATTTGCATATATCTTTCAAAAATAAAACATATTTTAATAGAAAGAAAGTGATAATATATATTATCATTATATATGTATTCTACAAAATGTATAAATAAAAATTTCAGTCTCTCGATAAGAATACAAATAAAATCCCATGATTATGCTCCAATATTCTTTATTAATCATCAACAACCTTTTTTAGGATATGTGTAACACCATATTGATATATGGCAGCATTAATTTTCTTTAATTTGCTAATCTCTTTCTGTAGATCGTCCAACTTCTTCGACATCTGATCCGATCCTCGAGAATCGCTACTGCCTTCTATATAAGATTCGAAGTTCAGGATCTCCGCCGAATTTCGTCCTCTGGAGACAATCTCGACGACGCTCTCTCTGCCACCGTCGTCCGATGTCCTCTGTAGATTTTGCACCTGCAAGCGTGGCTTAAGGACAGAGGCGCGAAAATTGTCGAATCCTTTGGCAAAAAACGCAGCGGTAACTGGGCCCTTATGCTTGAGTGTCCTGAGCACCTGCCGGCTGGCAATGTCCCAGACATGGACTGCACCGTCGGTAGATCCAGACAGCAGAGTACGGCAGTCCACGGATACCGACAGGGCGGTCACGTTTGACTTGTGCGCCTGGAACACGGCGCTCTCTTCGCACGAGCTCACCGTGACGTGATGCTCGACTCCACGTGGCGGTTCGTGCAGGTTACACTGGAATATCTCGCCGGTTGTGCAGCCCACGAAGAGTTCGCTCTCGCGGCCGTTCACGGTGGCCGCTGTGAGCGGCGCGTCGAACACCAAGGAAACCAGAAGAGCTCCACTGCCAAGCTCATAGATGTTCGCGGTTCGATCTAGCGAGATTGTATACAATCTTGCGCGAGCGTCACCATGACCGAAGTGCAGATCCCTGACTGGCAAACTATGGTTAGAGAATGCGTGAACAGGCGAACAACGTGCGTCGTTCAGCGCACTATAGAGCGACCATACGAACACCAGACCGTCTTCGCCAGCACTGGCGAATAACGAACCGTCCTTTGTAGTGGCTAGACAGCTGACGGTCTGATAATGCCTGGTCAGATTGACCAGTAGCCTGCCGTTGCATGTCTGCCAGATGAACAGCTTCTCTCCCACGGAGGCAATTAGATAAGATCCATTTGGCGTACAGGTCAAGGCATTGACTTTGCCTGGCGTATTCAATCGAATGTTGGACAACGGTGACGGGCTGTTCAGCGGCCAGATGTGTATACGAGGTCTCGTAGCGTCCGCCCCCAACACGTAGCTGTCGCTCAAAAGCTGAAGGCTACGATGTCCGAGTGCTGTCGCGTTCTTGTACACGGACAGCAGAGAGCCGTTCCGAGGATCCCACACAGCGGCGCTCCAACTCTCCCCGGTGGCGTCGCTCGTCAGGATCACTTCTTTCGCGTCAGTCACTCGGTTCATTTTTGAATCTCAATCTCAACACTACACTGTACTGTATCAATAACAATTACGGCCGTGAAGTTGACCCTGCCATTTCTTCTTCTTCTTTTATGAATATCAGTCGCGCGCGTTATCGAGAAATATTATTCTCTTTCAACTTGCTTTAGCTTTACGCCTATTACCTATAAACACGTGATACGACACACAGAATAGGTTAGGTAC